CCGCCGGAGCGAGAAAAGCTTCTCCCGGTCTCCCTGGTCTGCTGGGCTGGACCCCCCCAGCAGACCAGGGACACCCGAGCAAAGCCGCCGCCTGAGCGGCTTTGCTCGTTTGCCCGGGAGCAAAGCCGCCACCTGGGCGGCTTTGCTCCCGGGCAAACAAGCAAAGCCGCCCAGGCGGCGGCTTTGCTCTGGTGTCCCTGGTCTGCTGGGGGGGTCCAGCGGCTTTTCTGGACCCCCCAGCAGACTAGGGAGACCGGGAGAAGCTTTTCTCGCCCCGGAGGACACGGGTGGCGACCCGCTGCCCGTGAGCTCCGGGGCGAGAAAAGCCCCGTTCGTAAGTGCGGATCCGACATAAGTTGGATCCGCGTAAGTCGGGGACTGGCTGTAGATGGTATCATGAGCTGTCATGGGCACAGCCCACTTCTTCAGCTTAACTCACTGATGGTTAATATTGTTTGTAGATGTACATATGAGGTGTGTACAAACTTGTGTCTGTGCTAGAATGCTTGCCAAACATATTACAAGAATATCAATGTGTAAGCAAAGTCTGCCTTGGACAATGGAATGTGTATTTGTCTGATCAGCCTTGTCCTGCGCAGACACAGTGAAGGGATGTTTACATGAAAGGTAAACAGAAGCCTTTAATCTAGTGAATGGAGGAGATAGTTAAACTACAAGATGGGATTTGAACCTCAAGTGTTAGCAACAGAATTGACAGTATAGAAATAGTTAAAAAAATGTATCAAGTATGGTCTTTTTTATAAAGTTCTGTGAAGTGGGTTGTATCCACTTCAACTCGTGATACCATCTACATGTTTTGTTAGTCTGGTAGCGCTTTATAGACTATTTGTTGTTTAAGCTTTTCCTGTTACTAACTCGGCTTCCCCTTTGAAGCTTGTGACATAGTGGTGACTGACAACATTGTGAGATCACTGAATACCCTTACTAAGTATATTATGCTCTGAAGTCAACCCAAACAAAGGGGAAAAACGTTTTTTTGGGAGGAAGGGGTGATAGCTATCTATCTGTCTCTAGTGTAAACTAAATAATGTGGAATCAATTTCATTTTACATATAAATTTAGCAGAGGAATTGGAAGCCTGCAAGAAAGGAGGAACAGCAGGAAAGCCTTCTTGCCTGGTGAAGGAGATTTAGTCAACTTTGGGAAGACAGCATGCTGTTTACAACCCAGCAGGAGAGAGAAGCTTGGTCTGTGCTTACTTTTCAACTAATGTGTCAGAGGTTTACAGGACTATAAAAAGAAAGGAGAGATCCGATAATTGTCCATTCATTGAGGGTCCTTCAGTAAAAGGTACTGAAGTATTTTTTGGGAACCGATTAGGTGAGAAACCCACTTAGGAAAAGATGGTAAACTGCTGAAAGTAAGCTTTAGTTTTGGAACTGTTTTGCTTTTGTTGGCTTGTAACTAGGGCTGTAAAATCCCATTTAATTGGTTAACTGATTAAATACAAAGTTTAACTGGTTAACCAATTAAAGGGAGGGGTGCACTAGCCCAGCTGGGCTGGAGTCCTTCCCCCACCCTGCTATGGAGGGTCTTGAGTGCCTATCACAAACAGGGGCTGCTCCAGCCCAGCTGTAGCAGCTC